CAATAACATAGAAACAAGGGTTATTACATGTCACAGTTTTATAGATAGCTTTAAACCAGCACAAGATATAAACAAGGAGACACAATCTTATTTTTGCTATGGCATATCTACTACAATCCACTAATCAGCAAAGTAGAAAAAGAAAACATAAGATACAGGTTTTCAATTCAAAAACCCACAAACAATCCAAGTAAATAGAGGAAACAAGAACATAGAATCTCATCAATAACATACATGGATGACACAATCTGGCTAGCAAGTCACTGAGAGCACATCGACAAAATCTGGCTAGCAAGTCATCAAAAACATATCAACAAAATCATCAAAACCATAGAACAATTTGCAAAACTGGCTAATCTCAGAATCAATCCAGAAAAAACAGCACTTCTCACAATAAATAGTAAAGACATAGAAAATCTTCAATTTTAAAACCAAACAATTAAACTGATGGAATCTAAACAAGCCATAAGAATTCTTGAAATATGGATCACAGCAACAGGTAGCAAAAAGAACCAGTATGAACTGATTAAACAAAAGGTGAAAACAACAACATGAATTCTGAAAAGAGCCATGATTACAGATAAACAATGTAGATATATTCTGAATCAGGTTATGATGTCAGCTATAGAATATATGCTACAAGACATATTTCTTTCGAATCAAGAAATTAACATCTTGAACAGTTAAATTAGACAAGTCTTCAAACACAAAATTGAAGTCTCAAGCATTACCCCAAATAGCAGCATATATGTTTATACAGAATACAAACTATTCTGCATAAAGGATAGACAATTCACATTACATATCAAAAACTAGATAACAAACCTAAACAAAAACAACTTGTGTAAAGCACTAACCAAAGGAAGGTTGCAGCACCTACAAAATTGAATATGGATATCAGAAAACATATTTCAGCCAGAAACGAGAATTAACAAATCCAAGAAATATCTAACAAGCCAAATCCTACAAATGTTCAAAGAGGAAGACATCATGGTAGAACAAAATCAAGACCATAGCCTGATACAAACGCAGGGTAATACAGAATTGCATATGATTAAAGATATTATAAGGCAAACATGGAGCAAGGAAAATATCAAAAACATTAGGAAATACAATCTAATGTTCATCAAACAGATTACCAATGTCCAACAAACACACATACTTAATTGGAGACAAATCAGAGCTGCCACAGAATGTAAACCGATTGGCAAATAATCAAGATGGTTCACTGAGATTAGAAAAAAATGCAGCTAACCAGATATATTAGAAAACAGATATATAATCATACTGACAAACCTAACAAGATCCAATCCAATTTCTTAACTAGAAGCAGCAAAAAGCCACAATATTCAAAAACAAAGATACTTGGTATATATGATTAACCAACAAATATATATTGGAAAAATAGATTGCAAATATAAAATAACAGACAACAAAGTGAAAGTACAATACATGCAACAAATAGGAGAAGACTTGTCTATAGACAAGTGTTAAGAATATAACTACAGAAACAATACAAGAGAGTAATATACTAGAAAAATTAAAATAGACCAGGTAATAATTATTCCAGTAACTAAAACCATACACAGTACAAAGCTCCACAGTCAGATATTAGGATACCTGGACAGAATACAAACATCACCAGATATAATAATATACAATATACAAAATTCGGAGAATAAAACACAAACCAGAATTAGTGCTGTAATTAGTGGAAAACAAACAGAAATAAAAAACAAAATTACAAAATATCTATAAACCAGCAGTTCAAATAAAGAAGAACTAGTCAAAATAACTGAACAAACGGAAAGCTGGAAAAGAATAAAAGCATATATAGATGGCTTAATGATCCAGAAAGCAACTAACCGAATCAAAATGGGAGTAGAATAGCACATAACCAATAAAGAAACAGGAGAGAAAGCTATATATTCAAGTTATACAGAATATTTTTCATCATCAACAAAAGCAGAACTGATGACAATTTTAATCATGCTGGTTATAATTTCAGTACAAGCAGAAGTCAAGATATATACAGACAGCCAGGTAGCCATTCAAAAAATTCAAAAAGAAGATAAAGGAAATAGCCAAATCTATAAAAGTACAAACTGGATAATAAAAACTTTAATTAAAAGAATCATCAAAAAAATACAAGAACAAATAATATTCATTAAAGTCAAAGTATATCAGGAAGAAAAAAACAACAAAGAGGCAGATGAATTGGCAAAAAAAAGAGTAAATAAAGGAGACGAAACAATTATAATAACCAACCCAAAAGCAGTAGCATGGGAAACACTAAATTGACAAGGATATTAGCTAGACACAAACATTAAAAAATTCCTGAAAACATGCAAAATATCAAATGGATGGCAAGCTGGATAATACAAAGAAGAAACAAAGTATAGATTGAATATAGAGATGAGTTACAAATAGACAGTCACTTTACTTGAAAAATGCAATACCAATCCAGAATAACTAAAATATATATAAGCCAAGAAGATCACATATATAAAAGAATTAGGTACAGATTACTAAATAGTAAACTCTCTATACTGGATAGGTTGGCAGAAAGAAGATCAAATATCTACAAATCAAACAAATATCCAGAATACAAGGAAAGTAAAAGCTTAGAACACTTAATATACAAATATTGGCAATATAAAATAACAGATAAATATAAAAAGATAATAAAGAAAGAAATGAAAATATGTCAAAGAAACTGAAACAAAGAGAAAGAGAAAGAAGACTCAAAACCAAAAATTCCATTAATTATGAACTCAAAGAGTACAAGAAACTATATAGTAAAAGGAATTCTGACCAAAGAGATAATCTTATATACTGTATATACCAGTTTGCAAAAGAAAAAACAAAAGAAGTATACATGTTGCTGAAATTCGTAGATCCTTGACGCAATTGATGCAATTATTTGACACAATTATTTGAGTCACTATTAAAACATATAAATAATTGAGTCATGACGCAATTATTTTTAAGGATTTCGAGAATTGAGTTAACAGCAAAATAATTTATGCCACATGTATAAAAAGAAGTATATAAAAGAATTGTAGAGAGAATAACAAAAGTAATTAACAAACTATGAAAAAAAATATATGAAGAAATCACAGAATAGGAAGAAATGAACAACATTAACAGAGTGGATAAAAGAAAATGAAAACATAGAACATATCAAACAGAAGTCAAAAGAGATAGAGAAAAAAAGGAAATAACAACAAACAGGAAAAAGAACCTGGAGAGAAAATTGCTGAAAAGATGTGTTAAAAACACAGACAAAATAACAAGAAAACAATTTTTTTTTATTTATATACTAGTGACATTAACAATAGCAATGTCTTAGCACATTAGTTTCAACCTCTATCCAATAGAAAAAGTTAATAGCAACAGCCAATATCTAGGAAACCACAATATAGTTTAACATACACTCATCAATTAATGTTATAGCATAGTTCATATACAAAAATGTGTATGAATATATGTAAATATTGACCTTAATAAAGTTTGCTAAGCAAGGTTAAGCTAGTTTTAAAAAAAAAAAAAAACAAGAGATTGAATTATAAAAAGTAAGCTAGATTTTATTCAAATAAACAATAATAATGAACTGTAATAAATAATTTATAATATTAATATAACTAGGAATTTTTAATAGATTGCTTATCGCTGTATATCTTAGCGAATGAGAACATTTATTACGGGCTAGTTAATATTTTCGATACGATTTGATACTATATTGATAGGAACAAAAAAAATTTTTTTAAGAACTTTAATAATATATACTGTGGTAGGAAACTTTATCAAAAAATCTAAAGTTTTATCTTAGATATTGCAATTTTGATGTACTACAAACACTACAAATAGTTAATCGCTTAAGTTAATTTAAAACCCGATGTCGAAGCCAATTCGATCAGCCACAATTAAAAATGGAACATTACATCAGCGCAGTTATCAATCTTTCATGTGCAGTCAAACGTAATATCTTAGTGTACAACAATATTTCGAAGATGATTGCCAAAATTTGACAAGTAGACCCATCCATTTATCTATTTTATTACACGATGGACTGATTTTCTATAAATAAGAAATAAGAATAAAATAATGACAGGGTATCACCTCTCTAGACACTAGCGTCGAGAAGAGGAGTGCGACAAAGAATAAACGAGCAAAATTTGAACTTTGTATTCAAAGAACGTTGACGCGTTCCAAGATTTAATAATGATGCATTATATGATAAACAAACGCCGAAATATTGGTAGTATTATTGTGTAAGTATCGCCGTACCAATGGAAGAACAGATGATAAGGAAAAAACTAGTTATAGAAATATAATTCATCGGAATTTATTGGTTAGAATGAAAAAAGTCGTTTACCAAATTGAAAAAAAGAAATTTTTTTTTGGTTCATTGACGAAATTTATACCGTCATTAGGCTATATAATAAGTCCATAAACAATGATTGTCTCGAATCGGAACCAGTTACCGGTAATTAGTGGTAACGTTACACGGGAGATTCATTGTTATATTGATGCATCCGGGACCCAGGTATTACGAAGTCTCTTTTAGCATAGATTATAACAGGTTCGGCCTTTATCTGCATGTAAGTGTTAGTGATAATAATGAAGTCGATTATATCTTGGAAAAAAAAAAAAAGAAAAAAAATTTAAGGGTGACTCAACTCCCGACTTTCTTGTTTCAAGGTGACTAAGAACAAAAATAATCTCGACGAAGCCCGTTTCTTATGAATTTATTTCGCGTTTTTTTGTCACATTTAGAAATTCTTTACTATTTTCACAGGAATCTCGTGAATTAATTATATTACCGGTTATGCCTAAATTTTATGATTTAAAGTTTTTTTCTTATACTTGTTTCACATCGTACATGCATAAGTACTCTAATATATTTTATACACTTATATATATATATATTTTTTAAAAAAAAAAACCATTTAAATCCCCCATTGCATTTTCCAATGATAATTTAAAAAACACGAGTCATGGCCATTTCTGATCGTCATTTACAATATGTGTTAGAGCCTCTTCCGGAACCAATCACGTAGGTACTTGTAATTGGTTTGATGGGGTGGGTGGTTTTTTTTTGGTCGGTTTGTTTTTACCTTTTGTCTTTTGTGACCTCTCTTTTCCATAAAAAATAAAAAAAAATGATTTCTACAAAGTAACTATTAAGCTTGTTTACTCTTATTCTTATTTTATACAAACAAAATTAAGGACGCCGACTTTTTATTTGGACATACATACCTATTATTATCATATTTTCCAGTCGCAGTTGTCGCAGTTGTGTGATATATAGGCTTTAATGTTGAAAGAAAGTCGTTACCTCTTCGTTAATAGTATTACTTTACGACCAAAAATGATTTTGTTTTTTTGTTGTCTTCTCTATTTCTTTTTCATTTTTTCCTCTTCTTCAGTTCTTCATATTCTCTAAAGCTCTTTCTTTATATTCAACCTCTCCATATACTATTGCTATTACAGCTACAGATATCATTTGGAGGTCTCCCAACAACCCATAAGGGCAAGAATGTGCGGTTTCGGGGATAAGGATCGTCGTCCTATCGATCCACCTCCAGTTGTTAGGCTTCTTGTGTCTACCGCGGATGGAACTCCCGTGCCCGAAAGGTTTGAATTTTGAATTTCTTTGTTTCGGAATGAAGATTCTTTTTTTATCATAATTTTACAAAAAATTCATGGAAAACATTCTGTTAGTTCTGTCGACCATTCTATGATGATCGTTCACGCTGGGCTTTGGTCCGAAGATTCAATTGAAGAGCGAAGCCTAGTAATCAATCCTTCCTCTATTCCTACACAATCAACTGGTCCCAGCTCGACTGTAATGTCACTGAACGCACCGTCCAGTACGCGGAATCTCATGGGCCATTGCACATCGTCAGCATATGTACTAAACAATCACATGGGTCAACAAGGAATTTATTTTATTTTTCAAGATTTGTCTGTTCGCACTGAAGGTTCTTTCACGTTAAAATTTTCTTTTTGCGACGTTAAAGAACTACTTGTTCGGTAAGTGTTTTAAGGTTTTTCCACTCCAAAAAAGATCAAAAAATCAGCCCTAAAATGTCATTGTATTTCTGATTTGGTTATTTATGTATTTATTGTATTTATGCGTAAGTCATCTTTCACTCCGTATGTATCAGTAGATCACTCAACGGGTTTCCAAACACTCGTGGTACTGTTGCAGCTGAAGTGTACAGCGCACCTTTTAAGGTATATTCAGCAAAGAAATTTCCCGGTATGACAGGTACAGGTTTTAAACAAGTATTCTACAATAGAGAAATCAATTAGACATGATATATTGAATTACGGAATTGCCTACAGAATTCCCATTTATGTTCTATTGTACACATTAGAATCAACTATGTTGTCCAAAGCCTTCGCAAAACAAGGAATTAAAATCCCGATCCGCAAGGAAACTCGTTATCGCAAACCAAACAACGACGATTTGCGTGAACCTTCGAATGACGACGCACCCGAAGCCTCTTCTTCGGTTACATCTACCAACATTGATGCGCCTAAGGCCTCCGATTCTTCTGTTGACCAAGAGGGTCACACAGAAGAAAAACGTGACCATCATGATCTATCAGAAGATGAAGAAACTACTGTCGATGAAGCGGAAGAGGAGGGCAAAGGTAAGACGACTGCTAAACGGCGAAGAAAATCAAAATAAACGAGTCGTTACTATTAAGCTACTATTAAGGTATCTATTTCGAGGAGTGGAGATACTTTCCCGACTTTTTAAGTCTCCACTTTCTTTTCGCTTGGACTTGGAAGCTGTTATCAGACTGTAACAAAAATATGATTTTTACAATTTTAAGATTTATTTAATACCTAGGTATGTAAAAAAAAAAAAAAAAAGACGTTCACTGAAACGACGATTTTCTTTTCCTTATGCACCTGTAATTTTGATGGGTTTCACTTTTTCGTCTGAAATACGTATACCTTCAATTGTACGTACGTGCGAAACGTATCGTTCCTTCCTTTTCTTTTCCGTTGATTTGCTTCGTATTTCCTCCCTCCTTCTAAATCATGTTATCTAAGCGTACAGGGCATTATGCTTTATATATGCTTTATTAAAATACGCTCGTTTTTCCATTTGTTTTGATTTCAATAAAATTACGATTAAGTATGAACATCAACCAATAGTGATATGTCCCAATAGACATTAACAACGCGTAGATGCTGTAGTAACACGAAAATTTATTTTTTTTTGTGGTCGGGTTCTATGTTTTGCTGTTATCTACAGTACAGTAATTATTTTCGTTTAAAAATCAAGTTATCATTATTTTATTATTTTTTGCATAAAATAATGATAGATCTGAATTTTTACAATCTTATATTTAATAAGTAATACGAGATTTTGCCCGGAACATATTTTTTCTTATTATTAATCACGTGAATTATACCGTTTTTTTAATTTTAATAATTTTAATATGTAACTTAAATACCCATTGTTAATGCATGCTCAAAAGTCGTTTAGGAAATTTTTACCATAAATATACTGTACATCCTCCCTAGATGCAGCCTGAGTCTTAGTCGGGAAAATTCACGACATATATAATTTGGTATCAAAGAATGAGATATTTCTATGAAACCTCATTTGACAAAATTAAAATGCTTCATGTTTTCTTATTAGAAAATTATATGATCAATGCATGAATGAACATTCCTTTTTTTACTTTCGGAACTTATTTTCGCTCAACATTGATCCGATTAGAGATAAACGTATACATTTGATTCTCCACATCTTCCCGATGGGACCAATGGTCACTCTGAGCTATTTCGTGTAATCTTTTGATTTGTCATAATTATACATCGACTATCAATTACATATTATGTCTCAAAATGTATACTGTATATACATATACGTATCACTGTATATACTTTAAACTTAAATTTTACTCTGTGTATACATTATATTATAATTTACAGTATATACCATACGTTCTTACAATTTAATACGTTAAATATTCTAATGTGAATTTTTTGTAAATTTTCGAATATTCTTGTTAACGTATTCCTTGATGACTTTAAATTAATTTAAATTGAAAATGATGATTTGTTAAATGATATTATTATGCAATAATAATGCATAAATTTATTTAAATCAATAAAAGCCTTTTTTTAAACTATAAGTTATGTCTTAAATCTTGTGTTTTTATTATTATTATAATATATATATATTTGAACAGACATTAAATGTTAAGCTTTATTTAAATTATATACTGTATATAATATATATGATATAGTAATTATTTTATTCAGATAAAATAAATATTAAATTTATTTTAATAAAGTTGATATATGCAAATTCTAAAAATCCAAGAAAAAAAATTTAATTAATTGTTAATTATCAAATTATTTTATTGATTTCATATGCTCTTATTCTAAAATAAGTAAGATTTTAAAATTATTATTTGAATTTTTAAATGATTTTAAATAATATTAATTAAAATTAAACTTAAAATTTATTTATTATATTGTAATAAAGTTAATATAAAAAATAATCATTGAGTTAAATAAACTTATTGTTAAAAAACTTCAAATAAATTTATTTTTTTTCAAAGTATCTTAAAATATAATATATCTTGTTCTTTATCAAAACTATTATTATAATTAGAGTTGATAAATTTTAATAAACAACTTTGTTATTTTATGGATTTTTTAAAATATATATACTGTATATTATTGAAAGTTTTTTTTATTAATAAGTATAATATAATTTTGCTTTTTTCAAAATCTTTTAAAATATTTTTATTGGGATTTTTTTCTTTTTTCTTTTAAAATCTATAATTATATTATATATATATATTTTTTGCTTAAATATTTTTAAAAAAAGTTATTATAATTATAATCTTTTTTATAATTTATTATTATTTTTATAAAACTTTATAATATTTTATTAGATTAAAAAATGATATAAAAATATTTGTTTATATAATTTATACAAATTTAAATTAAATTTTTTATTAACTAAAATCATTTATTTTTTATTAATTAAACTTAGTTTATAATTTTAAAATATTTTGAAGTTAATTAAAATATCATATAAATATTTCAAACTTTTTTTGAATATTCAAATTATTTTAAATATATTAATAAATATATATTTAAAATTGATATTTTTCAATATTGTATTGTTTATCTAATTGAGTTTGACTTATAGCAAATGATTAATATATATTTTTTTAAAATAATTATTTTCTCTAAAATTATTTTCAATTTTTGTTTATTAAAAAAGTAAGTAATAAAATGACTTTTGAATATAATAATAATAAACCCAAAAAATAAAGAAAAAAAATCAATATCTAATATTAAAAATAATTTGAAATAATTTGTCTAAAAAAAAAATAGCTTGAAAAATTGAATACTTTGAAAAAATAATATATAAACATAAATAAATACAATTATTAAAACTTTGTATTTGAAAAGTTTAATTATATTTAAACAAAAATCAATTTCATATATTGGTTTTTTTAAGAAAATCAATGGAAATTAATAAAATTGTAAAAATTAAAATCAAATTAACAATAAAAATATTATATAATTAGTAATCCAAGTCTAATACTAGATTCTTTTTAAAAACAAAATACTTATATAAAAATTTTAAATAAATTACTTTAATATAATTAAAAAATAATTATCAATTAATATATAAAATTTTAATATACTGTATATTATAAAAAAAATTTTATTAATAGACCTATAGATCTATAATATAGTAATTAATATCTTACAAATCAAATTACAAGATATCAGTTCAACTTTAGATAAAGGTAATTGAATAATATTAATATAGTATCTAGTATTATAACTTGTTAAGTATTGTTTTTTATAAAAAATCAATTTACATGCTGATTCAATAGACATTAAAATTATAATTTTTAAAAAAAATATAGTAAAAAGTAGTTTATAGTAATTAAATAAGATAATACAAAGATATCTGTTTAACTTTCTTAATCAAAACTCTTCTATTTTTTTTAATAATAATTAAAGTCCTAACCCGAACTATTTCAATTTGATAAAGAACTTAAATAGTTTAATAGCTATAAAAAATAAGAAGTATTATAATTTGTATGAAAATATAGATAAAGATAAAAGTTTAAATAATAAGATATAAGAGTACTTAAATCAACTTCCTAATAATAACTTCCTTTTCAAGCCAAACTATAAGCAGGTTATAAATAGTTTAAACTGGTAATAAAATATCTTTTCTTATTGATCTGCTCTTAAATATTATAAAGTGATATATTATATATTGGATTCTAAGTATTTAGAAGAGATATATACAGTATATAAAATAATCTATATAGAATAGTATATAATTAATGACTTGTATAAATCCTTAAAAAATTTCTTAATAATATTTTCTATCATATAGTATAATTTAAAATTTATCAATATAAACAAATATACTTTAATTATATTTTGATCCATCTTAAAAAAATTTTTTTATTAATAACTGATAAATAAAAAAACAATTATATAAAAAAAACTATATAAAAATCTTATTCAGTATTAAAAATATTTATAATATAAGAAAATCTATAATTTCAAAATTTAAAATTTAATAAAAAAATATTAATAATAAATATAAAAATAATATTGAATATATAAATTTTAAATTATGTAACAAATATAATAAATCTTATTAAAGAGATATACTCTAACTCTTTCCGCTGATCCTTTTGCCAACATAAAAAAATAGATATTTCAAGAAAATTTTATATTTTCTTGTAATAAAGTCTATACACTTTCATTAACAACACTCATACCAAGAGACAATAGCCTTCCCCACTTGTTTCTTTCTCTCTTTGACATAAACTTCCTATATTTCTGTGAGTAAATACAAGAAATATCTACCTACAAAGTTAAAAACAAGAAAACTTCACTAGGAAAAAGAACCTGTAAAAAAAATACTCTCCTCTCTTCTTTTAGAGATTCAAGACTTTAAAAAAGACTGGCAGTTTTTGAAACTTTTTTCTCATCTTCCTCAAGCTTCCTCCTATCTTTTCAAACGTGTAAACTTTTTTCTGAAGAATTTTGTCTACCTTAGTTTGACCCTGAATTTTTAGTTACACCAGAATCTTTGAATAGTGATTGGCTTGAATTTTGAACTGGTTGATCTATACGTAGCAAGAAATGTAAACAAGACACGTAACTCCCACATGTCCTATCTTGTACAACATAAAACCTGATGATGCAATTGGATACAGTAAAAGAAGCAAGGTGACAAGACATCATTTTTGTTAAGAAGCATTATGGTGATTCCCCTTACCTCTTGGACTGGTTTCTTTTTTCTTCAAGATCAAAAAAAGTCTCAACCTAATCCAGTAAGAAGTTTTTTCTGTTATTGATTATCCCAAGAAGGTAGCAAGCATTAGTGTAAGTCTTGTCTCAAGCAATAATTCCCCCAAGGGGTGTAAGACTGGTTTCAAGCAGTATATAAGTCTTGTAATAAGTACCTGGAACATTCTTGATCAGCAAGAGAATAGTAAAAATTAAATAGTTCGCTTGGCTGCAGGTAGTAGTAAAGGATTTATCCTGATGAACTGAAGTTGATATTGGAGGGTTTTTTATTTACCAGAACAAACTCTTCATCTATTCTTTTCATTCTCTTTTCTTTTTTCTTAAAAAATAAAAATTTTTACCTCTTAGGACCACAGATTCGTGCAGAGGTAACAGCTTGAATATAGGCTGGCAATGATTTTTCTCAGGGCCAAGGAGTGGTCTTGGAAAAGGAGTGACTTTATTATTTTCCATGATCATGCCTAGAGAGTTAAAATTTAGA